TAAAAACGGGTATGATGGTTGTGTCTGTACCGGACACTATTTTAGAAGTGCGCGCTTCGGCGCCACAGCACGGCGCCTGCAGCCCGAGTGAGTAGGTGAGCTGGAGGCGCTGGAGTGTTGCGGGTCTGCCTACTCGCTTGAGTAGCAGGCGCCATGCATCGCCTGCTCCAACACGATATGCTCCGGGGTACAAAGCGGCAGCAATGTGATGTTTCAAATTCGAGTCCTCGGTTACTTGCCTCTCTCCTCCTTCTCCCCAGGGAGGGCGCGCGTCACTCCGGCTGCAGCGGCAGGTGCACGGGGCCGATGTGCGGCCGGCGCAGCAGGAGGTGTGGCGGCGCGAGGGTGCGGACGAGCGGGCGCGCGGGACGAGACTACGACGCCAATGAGTGCGGGAAGGTGAGACCACGGCGGGGGTGACGGTGACGACGGCGTGGAAGGGAGGGGGAAAACTAGTGGCGTCCGTCCCCGAGGATCGTCACATGAATAATTTGCTCAAAAATGTCCACGTCCACGACATTGTCCGATCAATATGCATAAAATGGTAAGATGCGAGGGGCTCTAGGCCAAGACCGGAATGATGCCAATCGATAAAGTCACGCCGTGTGTCACGTGTCGTCGTCACGTGACCGAGGTGTCACGCGTACTCTGAGGTCACGCGGCGTCGTCACGCGTGACGAGTCAAGCCCGGTGGTGTTTTGGTGCCCACGTCGGGTGGTCGAGTCCCATCCATATGAACGTGTGTGGTGGTGTGTGTCACACCGCGTTGTCACGGCGTGGCGTCACGTGTCGCAGTCACGCTCGAGAAGGCGTTGTTTCAGTGTCGCGACCACACGAGCGTCTCAACCCTCACGCTCTAGGAACAGAAGGCGAGCTGACGCTGAGGTTCCAACCCGCTCGCTTGGTCGGCTTTCTTCTGCCTGCAACTGTAACGCCCGGTTTCGCGCGGGGAAGTCCCCCACCGCGTAATGTGTAGCGGGAGAGGGGGGGGGGCATCGGGCCTCGTTGTCGAGACGAGCAAAGAGCGGCGAAAAGATGGCTCCGCTTTTCCGTGGGCACTTGTTGCATCTGAAATTGCTGGCGTCACATCGCGAACCGGCGGGCTGGGAATGACGAAAGGAGACCCATCCGCTCTTCACGGGAAACCAAATTCCGACCCGCCGAAGGTCTAAATGTGGTAATTTCTGTCTGGTTTAACTCGTTCTTTGCCGTCTACTCCGTGTTTGCTGTAACGAGTAACACAATCTAATCAATGTGCCGTGTGATTAAGGTCCCATTTTCATCTCAGAATCCACATGACACATACCAGGTGGCTGACTCTTGCCGCCACGCACCTTCGTAGTTGTGGTTGTACGCGGGCGGGTTTGCCTATCTCCGCTTCCGACGGCCCCTCATCACGCTCCTTGCGGCGTGACCACTGTGTGGTCAAGCTACCATCCCAAATTATGGGCACCAAAAATGCGCCGCAAGGAACGTGTAACGTATTCGTATACGAACGTGCGTGGCGTCAGAGTCAGCCACCTGGTACAGACATCATGCCGGTCAGTTTTCCCGAGGTGTGTGAACATGAGTGCAGCGTGGGTTCTTGCAAAACAGAGGGATCTCGAGACGCGTGTGTGGCTGGGGGGGAGATATTGACGTCAATAAGTCGTATATCCTGGCGCGAGCAGAGGGCTGGGCGAGAAGCGGGGCTTGGCGCCGTGTGGGCGCACTCGCCGCGCTCGCCCTGCGCCGCCGGGTAGGCCCGGGCCGGGCCCCCTCTATAATGAATCGCGCCCGGCCCGGCCCCGCCCGGTGCGCGACGTGCAGGGCGCGCATTGGCCGTGGCCGCCGGCTGCGCCAGGACACAGCCGGACACCGCCAAGGACACCGTGCGGGAGGCAGACGCGACGCGCACAGTGCAGGGGACGGGAAGGTGATGCACGCGTATGACGACGCAATTGGCCGTTTCGATCTTAATAGTGCTCCGTATGACAGAGAGAAATTAAGAGAACCGACTGTGTATTTTCGCTCGCCAATGGGGACGCCGGGGAAGGCCAGGAATTTAGGGGGGGGGGAGACGTTTGAGCGTCAGAGGGAAGGACACTCAATAGGAGCCGTGGATGGGAACCCTGCTGTTAGATTAGAGCCCTCTATCGAGCACATGTGGGACTGCCAACTCCATGTAACCGAGGGAAATAAGGGCGTGGAAACTTAATTCTCAAATTTATTTGCTATATTAAAAAGAAGTATTGCAGATTTGAAAGATAACAATCGATAGGGCACTTTGAGAGCTAAGCTAAAATAAAAACATTCATAACAACATTATCTCAAATGCTATTTTGGCAAATTATACCTCTTTTCATAATCAAAGCTGAAAAGGACTTTAGACAGGGAGGTTTTAAACAAACAATTAAACAAACAACCAGGCAACAATGGATCTTAAATAACAGTCTTGGAAAAGACCCTGAGTTCATTGAGTCAATCTACCATGAAACTCAAAGGTCCACGTAATCCATGCAATGATGGGATATGTAGTATATGTTTAGTACATTCTATTTCCCATGTGGAAATTGATAAAATTTAAAACATGACTATGTCTTCAGAAAGTCAGATCTGTAAGACTTTACCTACTTCATCCTTCATCACACCTATAGTTAATGTACAAAAATATTATCACTACCAGATGTATTATGGCACAGGCAGACTATCCAATACAAGGCAATTTGTGTACTGTAGAGTACACAGTATGCAATAGGTAGATTTTAAACGGATGAATACAAAGATATTTTGACACTTTTAACAGTTTTATCACATTCCAGCTCATAATAAAAAAATTAATAGATATATTTTCATTTGATCAAAAATGAGACAATTTTCAAAAATATATATTTTAACTGAAAATGTAGCAGCACAAGAGTATGATAAATTTGATAAGAGAGTTATCTTTGGCACGACTTAATAACAGATTGATTCTTCTACAGCACAAATGTACAAATAGATATGCTATAATCTAATACTGTATGTTAAGTTTAAATGATAGAGCACCAAGGCACTGAAACCAGGAAATGCAACCTGCTTTTAAGTAGTGAAAAATCCATCAATGGGTGTTAACATATCAAAATTTACATGCTGAACACAATTCCAAACAGTACTGACAATTTGAGGGACAAAGTAGTGAATTATTGCAACTAATTCTAATACTAATAAAACAATTGCTGCATCAAAGGGAAGTCCACACAAACCTCATGCAAGAAAATAAGGAGTAAATTTAGTTTTGATAAATCATTCATCATCCAGTTCCAGATCAAGTTCTAAATCTAGAATTTCTATTTTTCGAAGACTGTTAATAAACAGATATCTTGAAAATAGGAGGTAGAGGGATCGGAACCACACCAATTGAGAGGCATGAGCTTGCATTGCTCGCTATAAAGAGAAATATGTTTCAAAAATTAAGAAGACAATTTAGAATACCAATATAATTTGACAAGGCATGCATGAACATGCAAACATATTATATGTAAATTACCTTAATAGTAGATCTTTCTGCAAGAGAAACCACATAATTATGGGAGGACATAAGATATGATATTGGCATATCCAGTACACAAGAATATTTACGAAGAATACTAGTGGTTTCCAAAGCATATGCATAACAATCTGGGAAAAAAATATCAATGTGAAGTCTTAGTTGATGTTTAAGATAGAAAATTCATAGCTCATAAAAGTACTCACTTTTAGGCAATTTTTTTTCAACAGAAAGAAGCGCCATGGCGTAAAATAACGAACAATGGTTAGCATGGTTACTGACTCCATGTTTATCAAATGTAATGACCTGGGCAGGCAAAAGAATAAAACAAAATTGGTTCATTGATAATTTAAAATGGTAAGTCATACTTCACATTTCACTTACAGTATCTATTGAAAGAGCTTCCACATGGTTAAGAATCAATGAGCCAAGAATATCTTCGCGCCACTTCACTTTTGGGTCATCAGGTAGAAGAGTACTCCTGAAATCAACACTGATTAATAAGTTCACATAATTCGATAACAGGCCTTCAACTAAAATAATTTCTCTCTCACATGATAAGTGTAATGTTACTGTCTGGAATACCAAGGATGCGACAGCTTTCCCATAGTTCTTTCTTGCGTCTCCCACCTTCCTTATCGTAGTTTCCTGTACAAACAGTAGAACATATAAAGTAAATACTACTCGATATGCAATGTACGGCAGTACCACATATTATGTCAGGCGCCTACAAAACGCTTACCTTTAGAAAGGCACAACAAGTATACCTCACAATCATTTTTCTGTGCTAGTTTCATGATTAGAGGGCCAAAGAACATACACTCATCATCTGGGTGCGCGATCACAAACATAACCCTCCGGGCGGTGCTGAGAAGCGTTCCGCTTTGCCATGGCAGCACTTGCCAGTACGTCGCTAATAGATAGAGAGCCACACAAAACACAGCGTAGCAAAGAATGCCTGTTAATAAACTGCAAGCAGTTTCCCTCCCATAGTTCAGGGTTTCCTTGATTGTCACATCGTAATAAACAGAAACTATTCTTCGAATCTCATCGAAGCGCAAGTGGGGGTCCGTTGCAAAGGGCACGGAAACAGGCATCCTACTGCTATTTCATAGCTCCAAATTATGACATATATCTAAAACTGATAACGACGGTGCTGGTGACAGGTATTTCAAAGTAAAAGTACGAGCAGATTTTTCTAAACCCAAAAATCTTTCACAATTCTGGAGATGAGTGAGTAATGTTTATGTTGTTAGCGGTCGGAATGATTCTCATACTCAACCGCTGCAATATACCAAATGAGAAATTGATGTGAGTTAGTGACGATGTGTTAGCGCTAAATTCGAACCGTCTTGAACTTGAACCATTTTGTCTACTTGGTGTCTATTCGCCCAAAATAATTCACCCAAATTGTGAAAAAGAAAGAACATTAACAAATATTTCTTTTGAAGGTTTATTAGATGATTGAAAATTTATCAACATTTTCTAAAATAACATTAACGACTTTTTGGTGCATTTGGGTTCTATGATTCACAGAAAATATGCAAATTCATTACACTTGTATACTACAAATCTTTGGACACTGTAAAATCTCTAAGCACTCAAGAACTTTTTATCAACTGACCTATACACCATCTTGTATACCATTTGCAAAAAGATATGGTCATTTTTTTTCCTCACAAAGTTTAGCATTCCCTAGGGAATGAAAGGGTTCAATTTTGGCAAAATGTTATGGAAGAGACAGTATACAGGTGTCAAGTAATTATCAAGAGTGAAAAGTAACAGCCATATAATATCACAGACAAACTTAGACTTCATAAGGCAGTATAAATTAATATGATCTAAATCTTACAATGAGCCTACAAATTTTCTTAAGAGTACTTCTATAAATTCTTGTTTCATTTTCTTCTTAAATTCAGAGTACCATCGCACTGCTGATAACCGTCTCTCCACTTTTTGAACTAAAGTCCTCTGAGATTCCTCTAATAACACATCATGAAGTTCTTGCCAATTTTTAACTAGGATAAGTGGAGCATTATGCTTTTTGAGAAGTCTCAATGGGGAGTGACGTGACGTGCGATCGCACAAGCCATGAGTGACAACATCCTCCACAACAGGAATACTTCCTAAGGCAAGTGCTTCATAAATTCTGTAACATTCTGTGTTCAAACCCACAGGATTTAAAGTTAAATCAGATTTGGAAATGGCATCAATATAAAAATTTAGAGACTCTTCAGTCTCAAGAGGAGTCCACTTCTCACGCCCACGAAGGATACACTCATCTTGAAGCTTTGGAGACTCTAAAATTTGGACTAGTGCTTGTCGTGAGCTGTTGTGATACACAGTGCCAAGAAAATTACATAAATGAGATCTTGGTGATGTTAGGTCCATACTCTGACCCTTGCTGTAGTCAGGAAACCCTCTGTAAGTTGCAACACCTAGAGGCCACTGGAACACTTCTCTATCATCCACCAGAGTACTATCATACACGAGAAAAACTGCATCTAACGGACCTCCATTAGATTGAAGGTATGGCACAATCCAGGAGTTGTTACACTGTTCATCGCCAAGAAGAACAACTATGGTGTGTTTTAATTTGGGATACCTAAAAAGAGAACATTAAAAAATCTCATGAAAGTAATGAATTATACCATTTTCTCTCTCACTACTGATTTCACAAGCAAGATACTTACTTTTTAAGGTACTTAATCCATTGTTTAGCAGTGTAAATTTTATCAGGAGCCCTTCCATTCAGCACCAAAACCAAGTTTTCTATATTGGCTGGAACAGTGCTTTGGATAACACCAGGACCCCACCGGAAAGTAAAACTTATATCATCCGTGGTTAGGTGGCCAATTTTGACAAAGCCTCCCTGTTCCTCAACAAGCTCTCCTCTCAAAATATGTTCCCAGAGAAAGATGGATATTGCTGCCTTTCCCCATATCTCCACATTAAGAGGTGGGTGGAATTTAGGGGTTGAGACAGTTGTTAAGTCCTTTTCACTATAGCCATGTCTTACAGTGTGTTTAGTATTGCTAACGAGAAAGAGACGGTACGCAATGTACAGAGTTGCAATAACATAAATGGCTGGGAAAATTACAACAAGTATTCTGCAAAGAACTTTCATTTCAAATTGGTGAAGTGTTACAATCACAAACAATCCTCCACAATACTGTTCTCTGTTCTGTTGACAAAAACAACAACAAAATGAAGAGCGCTCCTCCTCCTCCCTCACCTCCACTTCCCCCTTTTCCCTCATTTCTCCCGTTCTCTCTTCCCCCCACCCACCCCTCCGCTGTCGTCTGCTATTTTAGTCGGCGTCGATCGGTTTATTTTGCTTGTGTTGAAGTGTCAAGTGCATTTTCGACACAAAAAAAAAGCATGAATCGTCAATCATATAGCCGTACTGAATTAGCACTGCTATAACTAGAATTATCCACCCCTAGTTTTATTTATGTGTTAGTATATGTGTGAAAGTGAGAGTTTGTTTATTGACATATTAAACAACATAACCAAGACAAAATGATGGCAATATCCCTGAAAGGCTTTGGGAAAAAGTTCATTGTGGCTGGTTTCATATTTCTCACCATTCAATACCTTAGTTATTTGTGTCTTGCCTTCCTTGGCCGAGATAAGCCCACTGAACGAGAACTTGTACGGCTACAAGACAATGGACCAATAGGTATTGAAATTTCAGTCAATGGAAAATTCTTAGAAGAAGCCAAAATGTTTGATCAAGTTTTCAGATTTTCAAAGTGTTTACCATTCATCATTAGCCCTAAAGTCTTGGCACATGTATGGAATGTTAGGCAAAATATCACTGATTGTGTTGGGGATGGCTATAATTGCATGCTGGAAAGCGATGATATGTTTTTTGGACTGGAGGGAGACTGTATCAACAGGAAGGCAAGTATCAAATACTATATGGTTTCTATTTTTCCTTAGCTCCTTAACTTAGCTCATTCCTTTTCTTGCTAAAACCATTACAGACATTGCTGAGTTCTATGACAAATGGTCTGAATAGATATGGCTTTAATATTTCACATACCAAAACAAAGAAGTTTATTGGCTTGCCAGGAGTATTCAAATCATTCACCACAAGTCTAATTTTGAAGCGATTGTATGGCTTCACCGTAGTCATATTTCATAGCAGAGAGGTAATGAAGTAAAGTTTGGACACCTCTTCTCATATACATTCCACACCTATATTGTTTTGTGCTTGGAACATTTTATTACAGGATAACTTCTGGTGGCATGGTTCGATTTATGAAGATAAGGATGCCGTTGGAAACTTGGCAAGGGCTAAACTTCTTCCTGACAACTTGCAGCTCATGCATCGTGAGGGTGCAATTCCAAAGTAATTTTGCTGCTCCTGTAATTGTTTATATTACTTATCAAATTACCATTAGTTTTAAATGTTAATTGAATTTTAACAGATTTGAACTTGAAGAAGTCAAATTGTTTCATTACAACTTTATGGTACCAAAGAATATCCCTGCCTTTTTGAGAGCCATTTCTGGTTCAGCTGCAGATTTTATTGAGTGCAATTACAGAGCAGTAGAAATATACTATAGACACTACAACAGAGACACATCTGAGGAGGCAGAGCGCTTCAGACATCAAGCATGGAAGCTACTATCTAGGGCTAAAAGAATATTGAATGATTTAGATGTGCCTTTTTGGCTTAGTAGTGGAACTTGTTTAGGTAACAATGGTCATGGCTATTTAATTGTCCTCATATTTGATTCTGGTTCTTCCCTGCCTTATGCCCTTATCACTATTTTGTAGGGTACTTGCGACAGTGTGAATTCATCCCGTATAGTCAAGATGTTGATCTTGGTGTATTTGCATCTGACTATAAAGAAGAAATAATTCCTGCATTCATGTCACATGGATTTGAACTGCACCATACTTTTGGGATATTAAATGATAGCTACCAAATTGCTTTTAAGTATGGTAAAATAAAACTTGACATATTCTTCTTTTACCTTGACCAAGAGAAGGGAACCATGTGGAATGGAGGAACTGAGGCAAGATCTGGGAGAAAATTTAAGTAAGTAAATTTCATAAAACATAACTAAATATTTTGCCTTGTTCAAGTTAAGCCTGTAATCTAATTGATAATGATTAAATTAGGTACACATTTCCTCCCTTTTCATTATGTTGGACTGAATTTCTTGAGCTCCTAGTGAGGGTGCCGTGTAATATAACTAAATATATTGAAGCAAATTATGGTCCAAATTGGCAGACGCCTGTCACCAAGTGGAGCTGGAAATTAAGTCCTCCAAATTCAGAACCAAATGGTATGTGGCCAAGAGAACAATGGCCACAAGTCATCAACATTCAGCGTTTTTAATTCCCCTGGAATGGTTTTATCATCTGGCTGTACTAGTTGCAATGTGATAAATGAATTACCCAATTGAACGTCAGGCTGAAAAAAGACTGCATTAGTTAAGCCATAAATGTAAGTGCAATCAAGTAAATATTTCTAGTCCTTAACATTTTACAGAGCATTGTGTCAAATGCATAGTCAACTTTCATACTGTTAATTGTACAAGTCACGATCTGTTCGTTATAATAAAGCCAGTATTTTTACAAATAGATAAGCCTTTATTTCATGGATAAATTTATCTTACTTGACATCAGATGTCACCACAAATATACAATACCATTGTACATCAAGATGGATGAGTATGGAACTCAGATATATGACACATGCCACATTTACAATAATTCAGCATTGATACTCATGAGAAGTGAATCCCCTCTTTATTAAATGCACATAAGAGCCTGGAATAAGAAGGTAAATGAAGTTTAGTCCAGGGTAAGATGTTAGGAGAGTAAAATGGGAAATTAAACTCACTGCATAAAGTCATCAATATCCATTGTTCTAGCTCTTTTCAGGGCAGCATTACTGTTTGAAAGGATGCCTTCTATCTTCATTTTCATATCAAGATCTGAATCCATAGGCTAGAAACAATAACACCCAATTTTAGATGCTAAAGCACAAAGTAGTCAGAAAAGACATGTAACAGTTGTATTATTGAACATACTATGTTGTTCTTGGAGCAATGCACTCTGTAGTTTTTCTCAAGTGCTGTGAGTACTGTTGTTTGTTTGAAGAGAGAACCAAGAGTTTTATTCTTACGAACAAAACATATCCTTGTTAATCCGTCCCATTCAGTAAAGTTGATAGGGGGCGGAGGGTTGCGAGGTTCAAGCCTTACAACGCAAGATTCAACTTTAGGAGGCGGCCTAAAATTATTTTTCCCCACCTTTAATTAAGAATTGTTAATTAGATGAGTAAACAAAAACTTTTAAGAAACTCAAATGAAATTATTATACTTGCCTTCATTAACATATCAACTCTTGATAGGAGTTGAGTATTTATCGATAATCGGCAATACAGTTCATCACCTGGTTGCGCAACAAGTCGTTGAGCAAATTCTAGCTGGAACATCAAAACGGCACATCGAAAAAATGGCCTGAAAAGAGAAGATTATTGTGAAAAGGCAGAGCAAGTAGACCTAAATGTAAAAATATCTTCAATCCACTACCTGTGCAAAAGTAATTTAAAAACCAGAGGTGATGATATTTGATAAGGAACGTTTGCTACACAACAGTCAAAGAATGGTAAGTCCGTTTTTAAGGCATCGCCTATCATAATTTGAAGCTTAGGCTGGTACTGTGTTCCTAACACACGTTTCTGCAACTCAGCAACAAGTCTGAAATCAAAACCATTCAAAAATTTACCAATTTTCAACTATAATAAGTGGAAAGAGAATAACAAAACATGGAAATAAAATACCTTGGATCTATTTCACAGGCAACTACTTTCTTGACTTTTTCTAGGAGAAGAACAGTCATGTTACCAGTACCAGGTCCAATTTCTAAAACAACATCAGTTGGACGTAATGCTGCCTTTTCAATCATAGTCCTCGATATAAGTGGATTTTTCAAAATATGCTGGCCAAAGTCCTTGTTGAATAATATACCTGAGGAAATTCATGGAAATTGAATCGTTAAATGACAACATAATTTCAGAGGAGGCGTTTTTGCGGAACGTCGAGTTTTGAATGACTGGTTTGACGAAACCTTACGAAAACAAGAACAGAAAAACACATGTAGAACATAAAGTTTAAGAATTACGAAAAGTTTGTACCTTGTTTGGCGATTGTCTCATGGACACGCGATTTTTTCTCTGCCTTAATCTTAGGCATTTTTCAGTAATGATTACACAGGAGTTCAGGTCACAACAAACAATATACGCAACAATTTGTGTACGGTTGTAGACTACAATCTACACGCAAGATTGAGAGGTTAGATGTATTCACAGTGACAGTGGATGAGCAGAAGCAAGCAGAAGGCAGTTGTCTCCAAAGGCATTATTTACAGTGATTGTGTAAATAGCGTTAAAGGGTTGTTGCTGGCGGCAATTCATTGTTAAAATTTGAATGGTGTGAAAAACACCATAATTCAGAATCTATGTTCTTGTCAGATAAATACACCTTAATACCAGTAAACTTTTTATGAGTTTTGCAGGTTTTCTTAGATTTTGGTGAGTCTCCCAGCAAGAGTTCATGTATATGATTGGCTTTAATGTAATCCTAACTGTGAGTGCAATCCAACATTGTTCTGTTTATTTCAGAGGATGGCTTATCTCAGTAGAGTTGTTGAACATGTATTTGGTTCCGAATTTTCACAATCCTGTGATGGACTTGAAAAGTTAGTATTTCTTAATGATTTGCCAGTTTGGTCTGGCTTCTAGGTACCCATCTAATAACATTTATTGTTTTAAATTTCCATCCAGCGAAAAAACGTTAGATAAGACTGGCACTTTGATCACTGCCATTCACAGCCAATTACAATCTCAATTATTTTCTATTGGTGAAAAGACGCAGACGGATGAAAGGAGAAATTCTTACCAAGATGGACGTGTTGGCAATATTAAAGTTAGTTTGGACCTGCTTGAGCTATCTAATAGAATGTCTTCTTATGACTCCTTTAAAATAATTGGTGTTGGCCACTTTGGAACCGTTAAGACAAACTGTGGTGTTTTCAAAGGTATGGTTGCTGAATTTTATTTTTATTTTTTAGGAACAGGTCTGGTAAATTCATTTCTCTTTCTTGTTCTTCTTTCTAGGCAAATGGCAGTACGAAGTTCTTCTTCTCTCAACTGGTGTGATGCAGATAGGGTGGGCATCTTTCAATTCAAAATTTGGGGCAGGTCAGGGGGTAGGTAAGGATATGTAAAATAAGTACTGTGCTGATATTTATTACCATTCTGTTTCAAAAGTTTTCGATTTTCTTTGGATTTTTTTGTTTGGGAAATTTTAGGAGACACTTACGACTCCTTTGCATTTGATGGCAGTAGAGTTCGCAAATGGAACATGACTGCAGAGGCATATGGAGAAAAATGGGAAGAAGATGATATTATTGGATGCTGCATTGATCTAGATGATGGATGTGTGGAGTTTTTTAGGTAAAATTTGCCTGTATTCTTTTTTCTGGCTTGGACAAGTCAGGTCAGTGTGATAAAATTATGGTTCTTTTACGTTGATATTTAATTTTGTCTTCTCAATTTCCTGAAGAAATGGAAGATCAATGGGGGTGGCTTACAGAAATATTCAAATGGGTGCAGGGATAGTCTACTTTCCAACTGTCAGTTTACAACGAAAGGAAGGTTTAATAGCTAATTTTGGTGCAACACCACTTTGTTACCCAGCACCAGGCCACTCACCTATTCATGAGCCTCCAAACAAGGAGCTCGCATCGGTGACATATCTCCTGACATGTACCCATAAACTCATTTCCATGATGGATAGTCGAGCTGTAAGTCCATGTAACCAAATGAATTAAGTCTAATGGAAATATGATCTCAAATGCATCGATCATCTTAAGGCACCTGATCTGGTTTCGGCTGATTCAACTATATCTAATGAAGCTGTGCTATTAGAGATTGGGAAAATTGTGATTTCAAGCATTATTCCTTTTCTGTCCAATCCTTATATTGTGGAAACCAAACTTATCCCTTTTATTCATGGCCTGTGTGAGTCAGAAAACCTACACCCAGGTCAAGGCCAAGTGCGTCCATCAGCTCGCATTGCTACTACCAAGTGCACTACAGCAAGCATGCTGAATAATCGAAAGTTGAACACATTTTTCGATCTGTTATGGGCTTTCTCAGAGGTATAAAAATGTTTATTTTGTCAAAATTATTTTTCTTCCATGCTAAACAAAGCTCACAAAAAAGTTCAACCATTTTCAGAAGGGTGAATTGAATATATGGACAAATACTTTAATTTCAAGGCTTACAGCAAGATTTCAACACAATCTAAGACCTCTTGTACTTGATTTTACACCACAAAAAGAGGCAATTATTGTTTTGCATAGTATGGTACACCACAGAAATTTTCGTCATTATTTAATGGAAAATATTCTTTTTGAAGGTGTCAGGTACAATTTTAGTAGTGTATCTATACAGTTGCTGTTCTGTCCAAACAATGCAATGTCACTGATAGTGTGACATACTTTCATTTACAGATTTCCTTGGTTTATGAATATTAGAATCCCGCCGATGGAAATAACTACCTTCTGGGATTGTGAGCCCAATGTAGAAATAAATCAACGAGCCTACATTGCTACAGTCAGTCGAATCAACTCTGCCATGACCAGTATGTATTTATCAAATGATAAACCTTCTTCTTTATATAGCACCTCCCAAGAAATTTGTTGCCATCAATGGTAATGCTTTTCCATAAATTTGGCCTGATCTGACCATTATTTATTTTCTTCTGTATCAATTGTTTTGATTTTCGTAGCTTTAGAAGATATGCAAGTTGATTTACTTTTGACCCTGATGGACAACACAGATGGATCTGCTACTGACACATCTTCAAGAAAAAAATTTCTGAAAAAGCTTCGCACCTTACGAAGACAATTTTATGCACTGTACAGGGTTGATGTAACTACACTTGCCTCAATGACTAGATCAAAAATTTTAACCAATCCATAAGTAGTTTTTAACTATTTTTTGTATTTTTTGTTTTCTTTAGCCTCTCAAAAGCCCAGGTAGTCCCTTGTTTTTAGTACAACCTCTCTTCCAACGACTTTCACGTGTAATAGAAGTATTGTGTGAAAAAGAGACAAACACATTGTATCCAGAGGCTGTTCCACCTGCAAAATTTTATGATGGATCCATATCTTATTATGACATTGATAGGCTTGGTGGAGTACTGTTATTTCTGTTAAAGACATTTCTTGGTGATCTGGAACAAAGATTAGGAGTTTCCGAGCCAAGTCAAACTGCAGAGTCTCTTCGAACTGATGGCCCTCAATCCTATGCTGATTCTTCAAGTAAGTGGTAAAAATTGTCAGCACTTTCAACATCTGTCATCCAAAACATACATTATTTCCTAATCAAAAGTATCCCACCCTCGTTAGCTTCAACTGCCAGAAACACAGCTATAATTCCAGCAATGAACTTTCCAAATTTGTCATCAAGAATACTTGACATTTTTGATGAAGTTGTTCAAATAGGTATGTTTTCAGTGAAGACATTTATGTGTGCTTTAATTTATCTTCTTTCATTCTGTTTGTCAAATTTCCAGAAACATGGAGTGATCAACAAGAAGTGCCCCATCGAAACAGTGCTGAGGATTCACATCTTGTGAAAGAACCATTAGACATTGATAATTTTCTTGCTGAAATTTTAGACAATCTTGTTTTATTTTATCATATAGCCAACAAGATGAACTCCTTGACTGATTCTGTAATCCCCTCTATTCTATCTACTTTCTTGACTTTCTTTAAATTGTTTTGAAACATTTTATTCAACCGAATTCAATTCTCATTTTTTGACTTTTTTATTGTTTACTTTTCAGATAAATTCACAGCAAAACAAAGTGGAGGATCTTGTACGGTGTCTTCAAGAAAGAAAGGATGAAATGAAATGTTACCATGCTTCATGCCCTGTCAAGCACCACCAGTCAAATGTGATCAAGATCATGGAATCCTCTAACAGAATGCTTTTAGAACGCCTTAATCAAACCGTATGTATTTAGATATAGATTTCCTCCCCCTCCCCTCCCCCCACCAAAATTTAAAAAGAATTATTCTTTTGAGTCATTCTGAATTTTAGCACTTTTTAATCATATTTTATCTCTCTTATCACAGACTTCTCATCTAGCAACTCTTCAGGCAATGAGATATCCCAATAGGCTGTCATGGTTTTTTAAAAGTATTTTAAACACCATGAAGACATCTGCTATAGACCAACATTTATTTCATTTTGTCCCAGAGTTTTACTTGGACTCTTTGTTTGATTTGTTAAAAGAATTAAACCATGAAGCAAGGCAAAAATTTGCCAGTCCTGAAGTTACTCCAGGTATGCTACAATTTCTGAACCACCATTTCAAATACATAACATTTCTTGCTTCAAGAATTTTATTTTTCTCTCAACCCTCAGACCGTGAAGAGCTTATGCTTGAAGCTGTCCAATTCATTTGTGACCACATAGATGACCAACGAGTCAGAATAGCCAGAGCCAAAGATACTCTTTTAGTAGCGTTGCTCGATATTGTTTCAAGTCCAACTTTGGCTGAAGTTTTACATGCTGTTCCAGCTGAAAGGTTTGAAATAATATTTAATTTTTGATCCAAGCAAGAAAACTTGCAAAAAAAAACCAAAAAACACACAAATAAACATACACAAAAAATTTACAGCCAAATGAACATGATAAGATTTCTTCTTCAACCATATGAGAATCGAGCTTGGGCTAACAGTAATTGGATTCTTCTTCGTGTATGGCATGGTTCACCAGCTTCTTTTGCCTGTGATAGACGTTGGTCTGAATATCTCAAATACAAGCTAAGACCAAGACCACTAACTTACCCAATTAATCCTCTCAGCTTGGAGTGTGGTACTCATAACAACATTTTATATTTCGGCCACTGAAAACTGTTAAACTTGGACTTATTAAGGATTTTGTTTCCTTCAGATCCCTACCCCTCCAATATTCTTCAAGAAAAAATCAAAAATCTCTTACTTGATGAGCCAGATGTTGCTACAGCATTTCTCAATTCAGTCTTGAATCAATTAAATTGGGCATTCTCAGAATTCATAGGAATGTTGCAAGAGGTAAACAAATCTGGATCAGTGAATTTTTTCTCCATTATTGTATGTAGGAGTAAAAGTGAGTTTTTGGTCATGACAAATTAACTATCTCCAATCTGATCTTGACATAGTTGCAGAATGTTTCCAATCGCCAGGAAAGGGTTCTTGTAGAATCACGTCAGCTAAAAATTTGTGCCACTTGTTTTGACCTTACCTTGGCCTTATTAAGGGTGTTGGAAATGGTATGTGTGCTTGCATTACCAGTTTTTGTTAGACTTGATCATCCAAATTCCTACTTCCTGCTTGCCCGCTTATGCCAGGTCAGATTCTTTTTAAAATAAATTTGTTTCATTGAATAATACACTAACTTTTGTTTATACAAGTTCTAAGTGTATGTATCAAACCCCAACAATAAACATTCCCTTTTTCTATAGCTACTTTGTCAAGTATTAAGCCGTGCTAGCTCCCAGGATGGTTGCTTTCATCACATAGTTACCCTAGAAATACCAGGCCTAGAAAATGTCAATCATCTACCCATTTTGACAGCTGTTTGTGGAATTCTTCTTGCAATCCTCAGAGAAGAGTTGGATGGCTTTTCGGGTAACTTGATAAATAAACTCTCATTTTCATTTGTCGGATTTTATTTATTAGTTTGTTTAAATGTTCTTGATGATCATAATTTTTTCTACCAGACAATGCAGTGACAGAAGTTCCAAGAGTCACAAAAACGTTACTTATGGAGCCAAGCTTTCAACTTTCCTCTTTCACATTTCTCTTGGAAGAAAATCCCCACTTATTTTCACTTTATTACTGTAAGTTTCAATTTTATTTTTTTCATTTTCTAGTTACAGTATCTTCCATTGAATTATGATTCTTATTTTTTTCTATTAGATAAGGAATACATAAGGGCGGATGAAATTTGTGTGATAGAGAAGATGCTGAAAATGTTAATTCACTACCATCGTATCTCTATGGATTTAAATACAACCACTAATACTGTTGATGAAGATGAAATGTGTACCATTTGTTTTGCATTTCCTATTTCAGTGATATTTGAACCGTGTAAACACAATTCTTGCAGGTATTGTTTTCCCCTCTGTAACCTTGAAATGACATAAATTTAATTCAGTGTGTCCATATTCCATTGATCAAACTGAAATTTATACCCAGAGCATGTATAACCCACCATCTTATGAATTGCAAAAACTGCTTCTTCTGTAAAACTATAATAACGAAAGTGACAGATGACGAAGGAAAGATAATTTATGACGAAGCAAAAGAATTGCTTCAAACAGCAAGAAATGGTCTATGAAACACTGTTTCCTTGAGTAATGCAGGTAATGACGATTTTTGATTAGTACATAAAAAAAGAGTCACCTCAGAAAAATTTTGTGGAAGAGATGCTAAAATGTATTTATTGTTTCAGTCAAGTGGAAGAGCTCTGAATAACAACAAATGAAGGTCCGTTACAAACAGCACTTACTTCATTTACCCAATCGCATATTATGGCGACAACGGTGACTAGTCAAATAAACTACTCAACTTCCTAACATTTCTTGATATTTTAAAAATTTGAAATTTCCAATAATTTAGACAACAGAATACTGGTATTATGATGCCTCTTGAAATCAATGATCTTCTGAAAAGAACTTTTTGTCATTGACTCATTCAGCAAGTACCCACATTAGAAGGGGCAAGTTAATGAATGAAAGGAATACACAAGCAAACTGCAAACAATAACAGGTCTATAAAATGAACAATTTTTTGTACAAACAAAATTTATAGGGCATATGGCCTAATTATTTGAGCCCCCATGACCCACTGATGTGAAAATGTTTGGGGAAGTATTGTATGTACAAGTGCTATAATCTCTACATTGGTTACGCCTCATATAGAGGGTGCTTGGGGGGTCCTCAGTTCCACCAACCCGCTCGCCAAAAGTTTTTTTTTTTTTTTTAAACTTCAGAAACTTTTTGATTGCGCTTTTAAAAAGAGGTACTGAGGACGCCCAAGCACCCTCAAAATCTGGACACACCATCATGCATTATGTGACATATACTAGAAATAGTTTTCAGAAAACAAGAATATGAGAACCAAGTCCTTTGGTAACATATCACAGTTATCCTTAATTAATAAATAGGTTGAACTACATTATCCTCCCAAACTTAAAATTGTTATCGTTCTACAAAAAATGTAATGAAATGATGTGCAAGATAAATGCAGAAAAATAAATATGCTTTGGTCATTTAAAATAGGTGAGAAGCACAGCCCTTTTTTTTTCTACCGATCTACCCAACAAGCCTGAGATTAACTTTAAGATAAAATCCAAATTACACATTTGACACATGAGTATGGTAAACCATATTGTCTTTATGTATTATAACTACTCCAATAAGATACATTCATTAGCAGTTGTTAAAGTAAAGTTGCCCCAGTCAATCATCCAGCAACTTGAACTAAACTCAAACCTTGAAAACATAAGTAAATGATAGTATGTTTGAGACTCATAAAATACTGCCCTGATTACAATTTCTAAAAGAGGATGCAAAAAGATGATTATTGTACAAATAGAGTACTGTTACTGGAGATACAGTAAGCTAGCTTACACATATCCCAACATAATTTCCAAAGGACTCTAGATAAAAACTACATTTTGAGTACTACTGTTTGTACACCTTTTGTGGCCTATAATTAGCAGTAATAAGTTGTCTGCCAACACTCACAGAGTAGCACATTTTACCACCTGAGCAGGTACAAAAAAGGTGAGAAACAAGTCAAATTCTTATTGAAAAGGTCATGCAAAATGCAAGTTTTTTAACTACCCACTTATGCTTACAGTCTATGATACTACTCGAGTACGTAGAGAATGATTGTCCTTTATAAACAGGCAATTCAGTAATCAAATCTTTTTTGTGTTATTCAAAATTATGAATAACAAAAGCTTAAAGTACCTATGGTGTTTCCCAAAATTCAGTGTTCTGTTGATAGAGCCAGATCCCAGATACAAAGGTACCTCACAACAATAGGATCTCTTCATTGCAAAATGCGACAGGTATTTGTAACCAGAGGTATTTTTATTTTAAGTACATACCTGGAAGGTCACAATTTTGACTCAATTAAATAAAATTAAGATGTAAAGCTATGTTTCTACAGGAGATAGTACCACCAACCCATTACCATTATTTTACAGATGAGTGTGATATGTGCATCTGACTATGGTGAACCTAGAAATGTGCTAGATGGATAATAATGTTTAAGCAATAGGATATACCTCACTTGCATATGAATGCTAACTACTGTGACTTCTACTAAGATTATCACAGTTACATTCTAAACTATGTGATAAAAATTGCAAAGATGATAATCACAGCATTAATTTAATTATTAACACATTGAGCCCCAGATTTCAAATACCAGGAGGCTAACTCTTGAAGTGTTGGGCGAGCGGGCGAGCGAGCGAGCGAGCGACAGGGGGAGGATAAGTGAACAAATTTAGAGCATTTTATGCTAACTGAGTGAATTTATACATTTTTCTTCAAAGCTTGCTAAAGGCATCAATATTTTTACAGAATGGCAATCCTTTGTCATTCTTTCACTTGCTCATCCGCTATACACCCGCCCTAAAGAAAAATCCTCCTGATCAGGATCAGACCTTACAAATGAGCACCTTGTGATCAAGTAAAGGACTCAAAGGTGTCAATAAAATAATAGCATCACTGGAAATTGATGGAAAAATATTGAGCTCCTATAGAACTTCCACTATGATTTTAAAAAGTAACAAATTAGAAACAAAAACATTAGCTCTCCTTCATTTTTTTTGTTTTTTTTGTTTTTATGCATTGCCTTGCATATAAAGCAAGATTAATTACATTTAAAATCAGATCATCTATTTAAAAAAATAAGCGTAATTGCGTGTAACATTATTAGAATTAATTTTCTAATAATTATAAAAGTGGGATCAAATAAATTATTCTTTTAAACAGAAAACATAACATAAAAACAGTTATAAGGCCCAACATGATACACTGTTAGGAATCTGCAAACATCATCAGAGTTCCTAACTCAAATTAGAGCAGCCTCTTTCATCCCCTTTAGTGGTCAGCATTAGTCAGGCTTAAATCACCAATAAATAAATAAAAACAAGGTAAAAATATTAAGTAAAAAAAATCATTACTCTGAACCAACAAGATGAAAGTCATAAATTAACAAGACCCAGGATTTTACTCTGCGTTTGGCTGGATAGAACTTAAGAGAAGTCAAGCATGAGGAAATGTGGGATTGTGGAGTTGTGGTTGTGGTTCACAGATCATCAAAGGCGGTGGGTGCGAGCAGCCAAAGATGATGAATAAGAAGAGTACGGAACTCGTTCTCTACCCCTGCGCAAGCGGTTGTCAAGGTCTGCTAGTTGTTGAAGAAAGCCCTCATTTGGATGGATATTTCGATTCTGTCGACACATCCGCAGTGCCATAGAAGCAGGCATACCTGCTTTGATCATGAGGTATGCAATAGCAATGGTGCTTGATCGTGACATGCCCATCAAGCAGTGAACAAGAACTTTTCCTGAAAAAAATAGTAGTACGAACATTTTCACTAAGAGTTCAGTAAAATCGACATTATTTATGATGTATTTAATTTTCACCTCCACTTTTGATTCCATCATCAATAAAATCTGCAGCTGTGTGAAAGTACTTCTCAATGTTTGTAGTGGGTAGATCTAACATTGGTAGGCCCAAGTAATGAATTCTTGCAGAACGGTAGAAGTGAGCATCTGTGTTTACCATGCCAAACCGATTACCTTCAGCAGTGTTTACAACATGGGTAATCCCCAAACGTCGGAGGTAAGTTTTGTTCCTTGCTGAACCCCTGCAGAAATTATAATTTATAAAACGAATTGAAAATAATTTAACTAGTTTTTTGCTGATTAAGAAAACTGTACTTACTCGTCCCCTATAAACAAGTTGGGATATACCTCATCACAATCTACACCAAGTGACAATCGATCAAAACCATGAGATGATCCTTCATAGCCTGGCAAAGCCTTGAAATGAGTTTTGGTTGAAAAGACAATCTGTGAGAGTTGCTTTGCCGTTGTTTCCTCATTATTGCCATACTTTCCCGTGGTATACTGCAAGGTTGAAAAATTGTCAATACATTTTGAAAAAATTATAGTATAAACGTAACCGACTTAAATTAATTTCACACAGAAATCAACAGAGACTTCAACCCAGAAAATATATATCATAACACCTCTTTAATTATTAATGAAAGTATGCACCTGGTATTTTTGCTAGAACATTCCAAGTGGAATGTCTACCTACAGATGCAAACTAAACTAAAAGGGGGATTAGTCATCACCAAAAAGCAAAAACACGCACACACAAAAAATCTAATGGTTAAAGTAATGTGCCTCTCTTCACACTGTATAGTGCTGTGGAACATAAATTGTACTAACAAACTAGTTTTGTTTCCAGAGTATTGTTTCAGAATCAAAAGTAAAAAAGCTAGACAAGTAACTAATATAGCTAGTACAAAAAGTGGTTGACTTGCAACATTACTTGGGATCCAAAACTTACAAACTTACAAAACTGCTTACTGCATGTTTTCCATAGCGAACAAAGCAGTCAAGCATACTGACTAGAATGCGTCTTAAAAAGACAAAGATGGGAAGGGAAGGTTCACAGTATGCAAACCAAACACAAACACACATAGGCAGTACCTACATGAAATGGGGCAGGAGTAGGCGCAGGTATGAAACTGCTGAGGTAGCCACCATAGCTATTGCCAATGTGGCTACTGCGAGATAATCCTCCACCATTCATTGAGTAGTATGGCAAGCTCGAAACACACTAACATTATAGAAACATTAGGATCTTGTTCCTTACTCACATACTCATTACCAACCAAATGAAATCCGATTCAAAAATGATCGGCTACTAACAGGACATAGGTAATGTATAAATAGGGATTTAGTTTTTGAGTAGCAATGAGATAATTGAGTAATAAAATGCATGTTAGATGCACTGCTATCCATTAATCATAATGTTTTCTGCTCCACATTCCTACTAATGGTGATAATATTGGTGTTCTTTGTATTGATTGGGGAATTGAAGTAATAGAACACAGGGCCAAATGTAACAAGACATTTGATACCACCCATGAATAAACATGTGCGCCTGTCAAAGTTGTGCAAATGTATTCCCTCAATCATTACGTAACTACATTCCTCACATACTTTGCAAGTTGTCATTATGAATGACATCTACTGAGAAAATGTAAACATTAAACATAAGCAGAAAAGGACAAGTCGACTGATTTACGAAATCCCATGAACCAGAAAATGAACGATAATAAGAACTTACCGAATCCCTCCAACTCATCGTGAAGCTCTTCAGTTTCACAATGCGGCAAAATCTATTTCGAGGCAAGGTTACAGACGACGCGACGCGCAGTTCGGGGCGGACGACCAAACACAGCGACCAAATTCGCAGATTCAGGGAGGGGGGATGCGCGGGATCGGGAGCGGGATGGGTCCTAGAAAAGGGAAGGGGGAAGAGGGGTGGGGGTGTCCTGATGAATCATTGATTCCAGTTGAGAATGTGTGAGAGGCACCAACACACCACGTGACCAGTTCCAAGTGCATCTTGGGAACTTTGGGAACAGCCAATCAAATCGCCGATCACCCCTTCTCCCATTGTCGCACTTTTTCAATTCCACAACGTCACTTGGAGTCACAACAGTTGTAAACCGGAGAAGAATCAAGCGAATTTATTTCGTCCGACTCAGGACGAAGTGACATAATTCGATTCCGTTTAGTTTCAACAACCTGTTAACGTTCTCCTTATCACTTTAAGGTAAGATTTGGCAGGGAACTTACGTTTGTTTTGTTCAAAATCTAACACAATCTAACCTCTAATGCTAAATCCCCTCGTAAATACAACAAATTATTTTTCAGTGCGCCCTGAACAACTCCAATTTTGTATAGTATTGTGCTGAATCTAACTGTTTTCGCACCAGCAATGTCCAGACAATGTCTATGTTGTAGTTGGGAGACATTGTTCCCTGTCATATCTTCTCCATTTTGCCGGTCATCATCCAGGCATCACTCGCGTTCTTCAATCTGCCTCAAGTTTTATCCATATTGATTTATCGTACACTATTACGCGTCACGATGTTGATTGCAAGAAGTCATTGATTGTCATTTAAACCTACTTTTAGAGTACGCGACTCATATATTTCAAACCTAACCTCTCTCTCTCTACTCGCAGGTTCTCCATATTCGAATCTTTTGAAATACGAATTATTAATTTTTATTGTGTTACATTTATCTTATCAATGAATTTCTTACTTACATATAGAAAATGTCTTGTCCTTATATACTATGTGTCTTTGTCTATGTGCTGATACATTTTAGGTTCAGTGGTCGTCTTGGAAATTATTTTTTATTGAATCGTTTTCTTCTTTTTCATTTGTTGTAGATGTTTTTGACAAGGTCTGAGTACGACAGAGGTGTCAATACTTTCTCTCCTGAAGGTCGCCTGTTTCAAGTAAGCAATTATATTGAATGCGCTCTGGCCGTCGTTATGTTTTTAATAGTATTATATTATCTATCATGTGTCCACAGGTAGAATATGCAATTGAAGCCATCAAGTTGGGATCAACTGCTATTGGAATTAGTACAGCAGAAGGTGTGGTTCTGGCTGTGGAGAAAAGAATAACTTCTCCCTTGATGGAACCCACAACAATTGAAAAAATTGTTGAGGTTGATAAACACATTGGTAAGTTATTAATTCATATGGAATTCCTGTTATGTTTTTCTCTTTTTGTTAGGTTTTAACAGCTAAGGTATTTTTGAACAGGATGTGCTGTCAGTGGATTGATTGCTGACTCCCGAACAATGGTTGACCGAGCTCGAATGGAATGTCAGAATCATTGGTTCTCTTTTAATGAGAAAATGTCTGTTGAATCAGTTGCCCAGGCTGTATCCAACCTTGCCATCCAGTTTGGAGACTCAGATGATGATGGTGGAGCAATGGTAAGTAATCTTTCTCTTTGCTAATTATTTTAAAGGCCCTTTTATATTTATTGTTATATAATTGTTTTATTGTTTTTACTATTGTTACTTTTATTGTTCTTGTTTCCATCTTCATATTTTAGAGCCGTCCGTTTGGGGTAGCTATCCTCTTTGCTGGCTGTGATGAGAAAGGGCCCCAGCTATTCCACATGGATCCTTCAGGAACATTTGTGCAATTTGATGCCAAGGCTATTGGCTCAGGTAGTGAAGGTGCCCAACAAAGTCTCCAAGAACAGTATCATAAGGTTGGTGTAATTTTCTCTCCCATTTCTCCCTATGTACCCAGTATTTTTCCTAAACATCGTATTGACTTGAAATTTCCAATTTCAGTCCATGACTCTGAAGGAAGCACTTACTGCATCTCTGACCATTTTGAAACAAGTCATGGAAGAAAAGTTGAGTTCGACCAATGTAGAAGTGGTAACAGTTACGCCTGAAAAATTCTTCCATATGTTCTCAAAGGAAGAGGTTGAAGAAGTCATCAAGGATATATCATAAGTATGGAAATTGGATAAATGTCTGTCATTGCTGCCTTGCAAAGTGTTTTAATGGGAAGATTCAGCAGTTTTCACTTAATAATAAATAATTTCTATTGTCATATC